TTTGATCCTTTAAGAATAATCAGCCACCTCAAAGCTCAAAATGCTTACAAAATTAGCACAAACATGAAACAATGAAGCTAATTGTTTCTTTTAACTGAGAGGACATTTAACCATTAATAGAAGCTAGAGCTATATAATCGTTTCAAATATTTCATCATACGACTCATGCATGTATAAATAATTAATTAGCATTTAACAATATTGTAACTGGAGGTAAATAGCTAAGAAGAGACATTTTAGATCACTTTAATTGAAGTTCTACTCCAAAATTTTCCAAATCTTTTTATATTTAAAATACTAATTATTTCAATCAAAATATGAGATGTGTATAAAATTTCAATATAATCAGCATAAACAACATTTTCCTTCTTATTGACCAAAATAATGCTCTCCCTAGCCTCATTGAAATCAGGGTGCCAATTATAACTAGCACGGGCAATTTAGCATGAGCAAAATCTAATTTATTTTTCAACTATCAAATTTAAATTATGTATTTAATATATTTGTTCTCAACTTGTTATTGTAGGTTCTCGACAATTTTGCTGAGGATGGTCAGAAGTAAGGAGAAACCACATTGGGTCATAGGAAGGACCCAACGTGGAAACATAGCAGCCAAGTTGATGTGGGAGGTAGTGACAAGTCATACGTGTATTTGAAATGTAATTATTGTCAGAAGGTGGTGTCACTAGGATAAATGAACATTTGTTTGGATCACACAAGAATATTGCACCTTATATTAAAGTGTCTGATATTGTTAGTGATGTGAAACGTAAATGCCATGTACTTGCCTAGGTGGCAAGATTAATTAAATCCCAAATCAATTTGGGGAGAGAGAATGAAAATTTGAAATTAAATTTCAGATTAAGTGGAATTGGCGGGATGCATTTGAATTTAAACTCAAATTTAATGGGGAGAATTAAATTGGATGAGAGGGAATTATGGAGGCTTAATGAGCGGGCCTATTAATGAGATAGGAGAGAGATTATACCCAATGAGGGGGCCGACCACATAAGGAGGAGAGAGGGGTGAGTTTTGGAATAAGTGGGGACCACCAATTTAATTTTAGATTTTTACAAAAATCTGAAATAATTTTTTAGTTTTCTTAAGGAAAGAAAACTTCCATTTAGGAGGACAATCAATTTAAGCAATTTGAATTTCAAAATTGAAATTAAAATCAATTAAATTGATGGCGTAAATTAAGGAGCTACTTTAGGAAACAATTAATGACCCATAAAACATTTGAATTTCAAATTTTGAAATTCAAGGAGAGGGAAGCCGGCGGCTAGAGGAGGGAGGAAAGGGGCGGCCACGGTGTGGAAGGTGGCTGGCCGGCGGGAGGCAGTGGCCTGGAGGTCGGCGGCCTGAGCGGGCTGGAGGAGGGGCGGCGGAAGTGCTGGGTGGAAACGGGTGAAGGGATGGAGTTCAAGGAAGAATGTGATCCGGACGGATTCTCCTTGAATTCTCACACTAATTGATCGCAAAGAAAAAATTGGAGGAAGGTCTAGAACTCACAAAGAGATCTAGCTCTTCCCAAAACTCACTAAGAGATTTGGGAGAGAGATGTACTCACAAAGAGAACACAAAATAGAGAACTCACTAAGAGATTTCAAAAGAAAAAGAACTCACTAAGAGATCTAAAAGATGGAACTCACAAAGAGAACGTAAAAAACAAATTTTCATTAACAATTCATCCTCTCATTACATAAGAAAGGGCCTCTATATATAGGCCTAAGAAACTAAAACAAGACATATGCCCCTAAGGCTTACATAGGACGACCCTCTTAAGTGAGGGTAAAAACGGAAAATTCATAATAAAAGTTTAAAAATTACAAATAAAATATAAGATAACGTGGGACGATGACAGCCGTTGATCTTCAGCTCCTCGGATAGCCATGGACGGTTGTATGTCCGCATCAGTTAGAGAGGAGATCAAAACATACATGAATAAGACATTAATGTCAAAGCACTAGGAAAAAAAGCAATTTGATGGCAAAGCTGATGTTGGTTCGTACTATGGGAGCGAGTGTAATGGTAGGGATTCATCCTCTTTATTACAACAAATATCTTTTAGAGGTGCAAGGGGTCCCCATGGATCAATACATATCAAACACTATAGAAGATAGATAGGAAGAGAGGCCTTCTGCATCACAAAAATTGACCCAAGATAATACTAGGAAGGCATAAATACGATTATGCATGGATATAGGCAGATTTTTTTATGAGAATACTATCCCGTTTAACATTGCAACATCACATTCTTACTACAACATAATCTGTTCAGTTGGACCTTATGGGAGAGGGTTGAAACATCCATCTAGGTATGATTTAAGGGTTTGAAGGAGGAGTTGACGAGCACTTAGAGAGGCATTGAGGATTTTTTTTCCAAAAGAAAAAATCATTAGATGAAAAGATCATTACACCACAAGGCCAAAAGATGGCCACAAAAAGAAAGATTACAGTAAGAGAATTACAATACATGACAGAGCCTAACAACCTGAACGATATGAAGAAAAATACAACCCCATAATCAATTGGACTCAGACCGGCACCTAGCTGGCAAGCTTGGGCCATCCAAGGAGGAAGCGATGATAACATCCGAAAATCCAAATGCAACATGCCCTCAAAAATCAAAACCCACCAAAACAAATAGAGAAATAAACACCTAGGTTGCCAACCAAGTCATGGCCATCCGAGGTGCGAGCAGGAAACTGATAGGAAACAACCACTATAAATCCAGAAAATTGCTGGATTTAAAAAAACAACAACAACTATAGTGCATGTTTTTCAAAAATTGTAGGAAAATATGATAAAACCACTTGATATTCACTGGTGGAAGAAGGAAAACATCAAGATACAAATGATCCTCTATTCGAGAGGAGGATCTATCTCTCCCAAATCTCTAGACCCCGCCAGAGCCCAAAAGAAATCCTAAATCTAAGAGATCTCAAATTTCAGCCAAATTCAAGATGTCCTAACCCTAGAAAAACAAACTATTTAATGCATATAAATCAAAAGGAAATCCCTAAACAGTCCCTACATTCAAATTTCCCTCCCAAAATCCTAAAAAATCCTTCCTAAAATGTTTGGTTGGCTCTTGCTGTCTGAATAACCACCGAAGAGGCGGAAATCTTCCGATCTTTTCAGTAATCTTTTTGTACTGTTGGTTATACTCCAAATCTTTCCACTCTACTTCTTGAAATATATCAAGTTGCTAAATTTTGGTTAGAATTTTGAAATATTCGGATACAGAATGTTCACCTTGTCTTAAAATTTTGAAGTTTTGTATTGATCTCAAAGATTTATAATGTGTTATCTTTGTTGGAGTATGTTTCCTGCACTCCATCCCAATCTCTTTAGGGTCTTATAATACTTGAAATTTTCTTTGGTCACTAGTCATGAAATTGATTAACCATGACCTTTCTATGTTGTTATTCCCCAAGTTTTAGATTCTGAATATAAAATCATCTTCATGTGGAGGAATTATTGCACTAGACTTAGTAAGCTAATCTTTCTTTTATTTTTCATTTATAAACATCATAATGGAGTGAGACCCATAGAAGTAGTATTGTTAATTGAACTTATATCATGTGATCTAAAGGATGTAGTCTTCTGACCCATGAAGTTTTTGATGATGTTTGCTCTAGAATTGAACATGATCTCTGAGATCAAACTGTTCCTTCCGCTGAACCTTTCTAGATCTCAATGGTAGTAAAGATAGAGTAGGCCAGCATAGAGAAGGTTTGACATAGATCCTTAACGTAGATTCGATTAAAGGCGGAGACGAGGCGACCGCTGAGGAAGAATGAAGGCACGGGCATGAAGCCAAAGCGCGATAGTACGGTACATGGAGTTTCACATGTGGAACTTGACATTGTTACACAAGAAAGATGACACAATCGAGCAGGTGAAGAGGGCTTGGTGTTGATAAGACTTGACATGAAGGACCAAGAATGTTTTTGGACAAAGGGGGCTTAATGAGGAGAAGAAGGTTTGACGCAGTCCAACCCTTGATTATTATCAGCGAAGAGAATTTTGAGGCATTGTGTGCAGGAGAAGAGGGCTCCCAACATCCGATGTCGAAGGCAGTTTGAGAGTCAGATGAACAACGAAGATAAATCCTTCTAGTTAAAGAGCAAAGATGGGCAATATCAAGTTTGGCTTAAGATTGTAGTATAAGTTTTGCCATTTTCTTTGCCACTAGCATGATTCCACATTAGAAAGCTACGAAAAAATTATCATGGAAATGTCTTCATTCAATAATCTTGTTTTCTAGTCTAGCTTGATCTCAATAGGAATTTCACTCATTTTACTTGCTGATGCATTCACGCAGTAGTCATTCTTAAAAAACTTATTTTTGCTTATCTACAACACAGAGAAATGCCCATCATTAAAATCTAAAGTATATAACTAAAATTGCTCCTTTTCTTTATTTATGGAACACCAAAATCAATTAAGCTACATATATATTCTTAGGGCATATCCAACCGAAAAACTCATTTTTCACTCCAAAATGCAACAAAACTTCAAAATGCAGTAATTCATCTCCAATCGAACGGCATTTTCTCTCTTCTTTCACGCGCTTCCTTCGAAGATAACCGTTTTCTCCTCTTTCCCGCGCTTTTCTCCATTTTCCCGCACTTCTTCGGCAAATCTCATAGCCCAATTTTTTGGCGTAGGTTGTGTCGCATTGTTCCCATGCCAAACTTTGGCGTGAGATTTGGAGTTCGAATGGACCGAATGACTGACAGTATATAGTGGTTTGCAGTTTGGTTGAAGATGATCTTAGTTTTCATCTGTCATACAATCTGTACAATTTTCATGTTCTTATCATCTTGGTCTCCTTCCCTTCTAATCTTGACAAGATTGTTTAGGCGCTAAAGTTGTAGCAAATCAACTCCAAAGTGGATTTCAACTGCATTTCAGACACTGTAACTTCCAGGCAAACTGAATCAAACATGTATATATCAATCTCACCTGTATTTTGATATTTTGTTTTTCAGCTTCTCATCACTGGTGGTGGAATGTATGTGGAGGTGTTCAACCGAGGAGTAATCCCACTCGCCTACAGCATAAAGAAGAGAAACAAAGCAGGTGAGAGCAATACTTACTTGGATGGTATCTACCTTCTCTTCACCTATTTTACCAAACCCGAATCAATTGTAGCTCTTGAAAACCGACTCAACAAAGATGATGATGTTATCCGTTCTTCCTCCTTCAAGATTAGGAAGAGGAAATATTAGCAGCCCACTTAAAATGGCAAAGCTTATTTGAATGTATTTGAGGTAGATTATGTTGTATGTTGCAGAACTATTTGAATACATTTGATTGTTTTTTCTCATTATGCATCAGCAGCAAAGTACATATTGATTTCTCTTTTCGCCACACAAACTTTGTAGTTGAAAGGCGTATATTCCTCAATATTCGATTCACCACCTCTGTTTGACCATCAGATTGTGGGTGGCGTGCATAACTCATTCGGAGTTTAGTGTTTAAACGCTTCCAAATTTTATATCAGAAATGGCGAATAAACTTGACATCCCGATCTGATGCGAGACTTTAGGGGATTGTCATGCAATTGAACAATTTCGTTAAAGAAAAAATGAAATTTAATATTAATATTTAATTAATTTATTAAATGAGTTATATTATGTATAACATAATTTGATTTACAATTCTCAACCCTCTAAAAAAAATGAACAAATGGATACTAAATTCCTAAAGTATGCAACCATTCAATTCCTTATAATTATTATTATGATATTTTAATCTTCTAACTCTTATTAATGAACTATTTTGTAATAAATTTTAATTATATGTGACTGAATTAAATATTTTTTTTTTTAACTTATATTTATAACTATCCTAATTTTTTAATTGTCTTTTTTTTCCTCGTGCATAAAATGAACAGTCTTGTTTTTGCTCATACAAGAATTATTTTCAAGTTTTATTATTATGATTAATTGTAATTTTCTTAGTTGACTGAATAAATATTTTTAATTTTGATGATAATGTACTTTATATTTTATTATATTTTACATGAAAATTCTATGATAAAAAATAAAAATTTTCCTCTCTAAATAAATGAATATAAGAAAATATAAGATTATATGTTTATTTTATAAATAAATGTGAAATAATTTTGTGGAAATTATGATCGCCGCAACCTATGCTCCAAAACTCGCTCCCATAGTTTTAAAGTATGACACATTAACTTAATACCTCTATAATTCGCACAATCATGAAAATTCTATGATAAAAAATAAAAATTTTCCTCTCTAAATAAATGAATATAAGAAAATATAAGATTATATAAGATATTTTATAAATAAATGTGAAATAATTTTGTGGAAATTATGATCAAATTTTTTAGAGTTAGTAAAATATTTTTCTTCATATTAAGATCAATTAATTAGAGTGACATTTTAATAAGAGGTTATAGAATATGATGATATAGTAATAGTTTAAAATTGGTTGTTATATGAATAAATATCAATATTTATGATGAGCAACCTATAAAGGTTATTAAAAAGTTAAATTTAAGGAAAAAAATACATTATGATATTTTGATATAAATTATATCAAGTAAACTTGAAAATTATAGATCAATATATTTATTTTAAAAGTAATTCAATATAAAATTTTCATACAAATCACCAATCTCAAAAGCAAATTGAATATTTTCAAGTTCATCTTACCACAATTTTTATATTAGAAGTGGTTTGGCAATAGGATTTGAGAAAGATTTATGCTAAATCCTACCAAACGGATTTTGAGCGCCCCATAAATCTCACGGCGGAATAAATCCTATATTTCCCTCTTTTGTCGTATATACTGGATTTACTAAATATTATAGTTCGGCAAATTTATGGGAATTGGTTAAAGAATCGTGCGAAAGGGAGAAAATGATTACATTTGCAACGAGCGAGCTCCCTTCGATCCAACAGAAGAACGGAGATCAATCGTGGCTTCCGATTCGCCAAAAAAGAACATTGTCGAAGAAGATGAATAAGTTTTTTAGTGGCTCGTTCAAAACTCTTATCTTTCATGCAAAGCGCATGTGAAGTAGAACTATTGGAGAAGGGAAAATAGGCCTACGACTAATGAGAAAGAAAGTCATATAAATTATTTAGTTCAACTAATTTAATTAAAATTAATAAAAATATATTGTTAAAAAATAATTAGTAATTAAAAATTAATATAACTAACTTATTTAGTATAATTTGAATTAGAAATTATTGATTATATAATCAATAGTGTAAATAATAATTAAATAATTAATAAGTAGTAGAATAATTAAGTGATAAATAAGATAATTAATAATTAAAACTTATTTATAATACTTAAATAACTAATTAAATTATTAGTAGAAGTATTATTTAAATAATAATTATTTCAAAAAATGATTAACTAATTAATTAGATTTCAAATAATTATTAAATTAACACTTAAATAAGTAATTTGATAATTAATATTATAAATGTAATTAATTTATTAGTTCAATTAATAAACGCCTTGGTCACTCTAGGGGGGAGTGTGGTAGTTTTCCTGCTACTTTGAATGGTTCTCAATCTCGTGGAAATGAGGTTTTGCCTGTTGCTATTGCGAAAAGTGGTGATATTGTCGATTCATCTTTGGGTGGTATTGAGGCGCAGATTGTGGAAGGTCCTTGTGATCTTCCTGTTTCTGATATTGTGGGACGTCGACTTCCGGAGGGTGGTGTTGCTGAGATTGAAAAATCTTTGGTTGCTCTCAACTCCTCCGACAATATTCTCCCAATGAATGTTGTTAATTTGGTGAATGATGCGAATGATGTGTCTGGCGATCATGTTGGCAATCTGTTGGATGCTGTTTCGGTCTTATCCCCTAATGCCTTACCCTTTGTCCCGCCGGGTACTGAGTTGGTCTCTCCTTTCCCTTTAAATTGTGATGGTGATCGTAATTCTGTGTAGGTAGGGGCTTCTACCCCTGAAGCCGTGGTTTTGGCTGTTTCAGATGGGGTGGGGGTTGCTGTTTTACCTGTTATTGAGGTGGGGGTTGGCTCGCCCCTTGTTTTTTCTCCCGTTCTTAACTCTTGTAATGAGGGGGCTATGTGCAATATTGTGAATGGGTCTGTTGATCCGGCTAGACTTTCGTCTGATGCTATACCGGATGTGATTGTTCTTAATGTTCGGGGTGATGACGTTGTTAGGAAGGAGATTAATTCTGGTGATGGATTGACTCCTAACACTTTCGTGGATGTGCCTGTGAAATTATTAGAGACAAATGATATGATTTATCATGTGGGCGATAATTCTGGGATGGATGTGCATCTTCACTTGGATTGGCTTCATTGTTCGTCGGAAGCTGATTCCGATTCCTCTTCGGATCATGGTGGTGGCTCGGATCCTGGACATGATTTCAAAATGGTTCGTGATCATCCGGTTTTTGTTGGTGCTCGTGGTAGACCCCGTGGGAGAGGTCGCCGGGGTCGTTAGTTTAATTGACTAATTTATTTCAAGCTGATTCGTCTGAATTTTGGTTGGTGTTGGTTATGGCAGGCGATGATGTGGCTGGGGCTCGCTCCTTGGTGCTATGGCTCCTGGCAACCTTTGCTGTGTTTTTCACCAAATTGGATGGTCGGTGCGTAGTGTCGGAGAGCTGGTAGCCTCGGTCAATTACTGAGTCTACTTCCTCTGTTTTATTGTATTTTCTTTTTTTTTTACTTTTATTTGGATTTCAGACTCTTGTAACCTCACTGTTGCTATAATAATATTTTTTGTTTTAAAAAAAAATTATTAGTTCAATTATTTGATAATTAAGTTAACATGTAATTATATTATTTATCATTATAACTTATTCGCAGTAATTAAAATTAAAATTAATAAATAACTTATACTTAGCACCTAAATTAAATTCAAAATATAATAAATTTAATTTTTAAATGAACTAACCGCCTTAAAAAATTTTGGATTACATTGTCAAACAGATTAACAGGATTTAATAAGATTTATCACTTAACTTACCAAACAATTTTTAGAATTTAAAAGCACCATAATGCACTAATTTTAGGATTTATTGAATTTAGTGACAATTTACAAAATTCTAAATAGTTTAATACTGCTTGTTGACAAATAACCTCTTATTACATATTCATTTTTTTTAATATCAAGTTATTGGAACATGAATTTGTAAATTTTTTTAGGATTCAATAACATTATCATTGAAATTTTTATAAATTTATAAATTTAATATTTAAATATTTATTTATATAATATATTAATTTAAATTACATTAAAGTTTGTAAATATTAATTTATTTTGAGTAAATTATATGTATAAAATATCATAGAAATTAAAAAAAAAATTAAATATTAAATATTTATATTAGATTTCGTGCCCTATAAATTCCCTTTCTTTTCCCTTGCCCTTGGCGCTGCAGTTTCCCTGCTCTCTAGCTCTAGCAGGATCGAAGGCCACCAGTCTTGGTGAGAGAAACGCTACGCCGTCGTTCTCCTTCACGATCGTTCCTGCGCCGCAGAGAACTATGAGGGCGAATTCAGTGAATGGCCGGAGCTTCTTCCAGTTTTGCTGCTCAGATCTTGCTCCTTCCTTGCGATTTCGCTCATTCAGCAGTGGTATGCTTCTGTATCTTCCTCTTCGCCGTTCATACACTTAATTGGAAGTATTCATTGTTCATTCTCTTTATAGCATCTAATATCCATGGCTGTTGTTTTCATCAATCCCTGTGGATCATTTTCACTGTGTTGTAATAATTTGGTGAAACTGCTTACAAATTGCTGAAAAAAGACGCTACTTGGCTTTCTATTGTATATATTTCATATGCTTAGTCAGGTAGAAAGGTTTTTGAGTGATGAATGCGATTTCTGTTGGATCCTAAATTATCAACCTTGTTAACAAGAATGTACAGGTTCCAATGAGAAGAGAGATAGAGTTTCGAGAGAAAAGTTTTAGGATTTCAATAGATTGCTTAAAAAGTGCAAATTAATGTGATCGATTGAATGTGCCAAGATTATCCCCTGACCTCTTATATATAAGTTTAGTTCGAGGTTCAACGCGATTGGAAAGGCTTCATTTGGGCAAATGCAAGTAAAATTACATAGCAAGATTTTATAATATTTTCTGTAAATATGAACGAGTCTAGTTAACTTGTGGTTTTCTAGTTACATAGCTAACTCTGGATGAGCTATAATTGCTGTCTAAGGAGGTGACTTTTTTGGCAGTCGCTGGAGAATTTCATATCAGTTTGGCAAGAGTAGCTTTGGCATCTTAGTAGGCTGATTTTAAATTGAATGTACAAGTGAGTTCAGGTGTAGTTTTTGGTATTGTAGAAAACTTTATAGATGAATTCCATGCCCCTTAGAGCTGAGTAGGACGAATTTAAATGCCAAGTACTATTTAGCTGGTTTAAAGGTCCCATTATGAGGTAGTCTTAGAAAATGTAGACTTAGGAAAGGTCCCATTATGAGGCAAGTTGATGAATTTTTATATAGGTCACTTGGTTTAGTTGGTGACTTGTTTAACTCGGTTGAGATGAGTTTGTGAACCCGACTCAAATAAATTTGGTGTAGATTAGTTCCCCAAGTTTCAATCAATGCCTCTTAGAGCTGAGTATGCCAAATTTAAATGCCAAGTATTATTCAGCTGAGTTCAAAGGTCCCATCATGAGGCAACTTAATGAATTTCTTATATAGGTCACTTAGGATTTAGGATATGATAATAAAACCTTTAACCTAATTTGGCCTGAGCGAATCTACTATTGCTAGGGGCTTCTTTGGTTAGAGCGATTTGTAAACCAAATACATGTGTTTTAGAAATGCTTAAATTGTTTAGTTGGATACAAATTAATGAAATTATTATTTTTGTTTGTTATATTGCATTTTAAATACATGCATTTTAGAAATACGACAAGCAGCAGTGGTAGCATGCAGCTATTAGCATCGAGTGGCAATCACCACTGTGGAGGATGACATGGTGTATTAAAAATTTACCTGAATTGGGCGACTTTGGAATACGCAAAAAATAAATTAAATGATGAATTTCAAATACCTAAAAAAATACTTTTTATTTATTTTTCATTCAACTAAACACCTAAATTTTCAAATTCTCTACATGCCTTTTACTCTAAACTCAAAATACTTTGAACTAAACAACTTCTGAATTTTTAAGTACTTCCTTCGATTTGACTAATAGCTATAATATTGACTTTTCAAGCCTATAAGAATCCCTTAATTTTTTTTAGGGGCTTTTTATTATCTTTGAGAAAATTAACAAGTACACCAATCAGGAGATCTTCGCGATGTTGCTAGAGAGATTTAAGGAATGGGAAAAATGAAAAGCTATAGATGAATGTTCTTCTTCGTTAGTTTTGAAGAAGATTGAGGAAAATGTTGAAGAAGCCAATAATGATAAGAAAGATAACTCCAACTGTGGAGATTACAATTAATGATCCTCTTGCTAAAACTCTCTTAAAGAGAAAGATTAGCTATGGCTCTTCTCAACCCAGATCATCTGGGATGGAGCTAACAAATACAGTCTTCAACAATTGTATTAATTTAGTCTTGTGTAGGGTCCTTGTCCAAGAGCATTTTTTGGCTTTTTTATTTCGTCTGAAGAGGATGAATATACCAAAGTCACTACTGGTCTAAGAGATAAAGATGTTGTGGAGGATCCTCCTACTAAGAGTAAAGATATGGAAGAGAGAAAAAAGGTGGCCATGATGAATTGAATAATGAGGCCCAAGTTCAAGATAAGGTTGGGGCATCTGTTGTTGTGCTACAAGTTCAAAGTCGCTTGCATCAGTTCCAACATGTAGGCTTGATTGTTTGCTCAAGGATTTTTATTCTTTGAAGGCTATGGTTCTTACTCTTCAAGCTAGTTTACACTTGTAAATGAAAGATAATTGTTGAACTAAATTTTTTAGAGAAGTTGAGAAGGTATGCTTGGGCAACTTGGTAAAATATGGTCTTTTGTCTAGTTACCTTAATTCTCCTTCAGCAAACTCCTTAGGGATATTTGCTAAGAAGTAAGGGACTTGAAGAGTGAGATGGTTTTGCATAGGAAGTGTCACGACCCGACTCGGGCTAGCCAGGTCGGGTACCACTCTTGTCACGACCGACCCGGCTAGCCCGAGTTAACGGGACGGGAGCAAAAGGTCGTACGGAAAAACATAAATAAACATAAACATTTATATTAATGCTTTAAACATCATCAAAATATTAATTGAAAGAGCCACTAAAATACACCCGAAATGAAATAAAAGTTCCAAACCATTAACTGTCTCACATAACTACTAAATTTTAAACATTCATTACATAAACTCCAAACTTTAAACTCAAACCCACAAACTGCATGGAAAAATAAACTCAGACTCAAACTAATAACATAACAAGGAACCTTTCATCCTCCTGAGGTCCCCTACGACGATAAGTGTAAGGTCGTCGTGCAGCTATTACTTCTCTCCTAAAAAAAATATTTCCAAAATGAGGAATGAGCTAAAGCTCAGCAGGTAATTCATAATACAGTTAATTTCATAAGATGCATAAATTAAAAATATTTACAACTAGAAACTGATTCATATAATTAAGCATCTTCATAACATATAATGTTGTTCTTCTTTTTCAATAAACATTGCTTTCCTTTCATTCTTTTTCTTTAATCTTTTTCATATGCAATGCAAGGTGCAAAAAGAATGTGCTATATGTATCACCCGTCCCGGAAGTGCCCTTATTCGTACTGATCAGATACTCAGTAAAAAATGTGGCCATTTCCTTTACCATTGGTTCATTATGTGTTTCAGTCAGAAAGATTTTTCATCCTAGACCTTGTTTTTATAACATGATTTGCTCATATAATGTGTTCTGGATTTTGGTGGTAAGTGGGAGGCATTGTACCCTTGATTGAATTTGCCTACAACAATAGCTTCAAGCAAGTATTGGTAATGGGCTGCCATACGAGCTTTGTATGGTTTTAAATTGGGCTGAGACAGGAGAAAGGAAAATATTGTTGTGCTTCTTGATTTTTTGTGTTAGATGATGCTGACAGTAAAAGAGATTTAGATTGATCAAGTGGAGATGTAGGTATTATTGCCGGCAGTGAGCAGGAGCAGACAGAAAATATATTATGATGCCAAGCCCGATCAGTTGAGTTGATATTGGACGAGTTTGTATTTTCTCAAAGTCAGTTCCAATAAGGGAGTTCGAAAAGATTTGGCAAAGCAAGTGAAAATTGAGTCCAGATTTATAGGCTTCCTTTTCTCTATTTGTAGATTTCAGAAAGGATTGAAAAGGGTGGCCTAATAGGTTGATTCTACGGCGCACATATGTAGGGTACATATGTGTTTCTATATTGGTCCCCCTTAAGGCAATATATATTTTCAGATGTAGTGCTCATAGAGGATTTTATTTAAGTAGATATTGGTAGTATTGCATTCACCTTTTGAGCTTGACAATTGTATTAACAGAACCCAGAGAAGATTCTTGCTTTGAGCTTAAGCAATTGACGGAGCAGAAGTCATTCCTGTCTGTTAGGTATCTGTTGAAGCAACAGGTTCTGAGAGTTCCACGGGATCTTGATTTATGATGAGGGCGATGACCTAACCCTCATATTGTTTAGGACCTAAGGTTAGGTTTAGACTGGGCTTTTTTATTTCCTTTAAGAGGTTCTGAGATTACAAAATTTTACTAAGGGAGCGGATGAAGTTGTACAGAACGTCTCGCGAAAAATAACATTTTATGGTATGTTCGTTACATCACTTCGTTTCAAAGCGTCGTGACGAAGTTATATATGTTGTAGAGAATTTCTTCAAGTTAAACAGGACATGTAACGAAATTAATTTTAATGAAAATCCCTACGCAAAAGTGTGCGTGATCGTTTTGTATATATTAGAACTTTATCTCGATTTGACTAATTTGGAGTTAACTATTTTAGAAGTCCTAAAACAAACAACCTTAACCTTTTGTAGATTGGTCCAAATACTAAGTGAGGGCAAAGGAGTTTTTAGCAAGCAATCTTCTCTTAATAGCCAACAGGACCCTCTCTTTCTCTCCCTCATTCGCCTGCATTTCAACGCGTAGAACGAGATGCAGGGCGGAAACGGGCGGACGGACGGTTCTGGGGACTTTCTTTGGTCGACGCTTTTTCCGGCGGAAACTTATGTCAAATCGAAGAGGTCAACGCGGAAAACACTCCTGGTAATGTTTATTTCAAACGAACCCTTCTAAATCTCTAGATATTTGAGATCGAAAATCATGGGTTTCTCCAATTTTTGATTTTCTTTCGCAATTTCTTTACATATCTTTAAGGAATATTTAGAAGATTGGTTTGGCATTAAAACATAGAGATTTGAGAAAATTTTGGAGATTTTATAAGTTAGGGTTTTGACCTAAACTTAATTTGTAAAACACCTATACGAAAATGATTTTTCATAGGGAGTGGAATATGATGATTTTAATGCGGAAATTTTGATTTTGGACGAAAATTTTATTTTCACTAATTTTCATGATTATTTTAATCCGAAAATTATTATATTATTATTATAATATGTTAAGGATCAATTTAGAATCAATATTTGGATGAAATTGGAGAAGTTATGAATTTTTCAAAATTTAGGTATTTATTAACGAAATAAATGTTTATTTAATTAATTATCCTTTAATTGTCGTTAGGAATGGTTAAGGGGAAAATGTAGGGTTTAGCCTTTAGACTTAGGAAATTGATTTCTAATTGTGACAGGATTACTTTATAAACTTTCTTAGGTAGTGATCGTCAAAGTTTAAAGAGAGGACTTATGTCAAAGCGACGTACTGTGCTTAATTTGAGGTAGGTATTCAGAACCAGTTAAATTTATAAGTGCTTCAAATTTCTTATTGCTAAATGTATTTCATGTCTTTATATTTTTATTAATTAATGTTTTAATTCAGTAATTTTGCAAGTTCATGTTTTATTTATTTGCATTAACTGTTGAGCAATATGAGCCATATGAAAAGACATTTGGGCATGAAATTATATGAATGTTTAAGAAAGGAAATTTAATGAAATGAAAAGATTTAAAAGTAATGAATTTTTCATGTTGCATGTTGATCCGGAAGTGCCAATGGTAAAGGAGCTCGTTTGAGCATTGGTAATGGAGGCTCGCATGAGCCATGGTAAAGGATGGTTCTTATGAACCAATGGTAAAGGAAATGGCCAC